GCCGCACACAATCTTAGCCCTTTCCCCCACGTCCACTGTTCACATCCACTCGCACCGATTCAGGTTTCTTTCACCTTGCCGAGCAAGGTGCTCGGCGTGTATGCCAAGACAATTCTGTGGGGTTGGTTTCTTTGACTCCGCTTTGTGGAGGCCAGCGATACCAAAGCACAGGGCAGTGTTGCTCTAAAACCGTCTCACTCTTAGTTCTGTGGCTGTTGTATGTATGTATGTACTGAAGGCATATAAAATTAGGCGAGAGGAATGTCGCTGTAAAGCAAGCAAACGGTTGCATCAATTCTTTTACCAGCCCGGGGTTTAATGCTGGCGCGCGCGTTTTTGTTTGAGTTTTTTATTGTTGTTATTTGCTATCTTGAAGAGCTCTGACTCTGAAACCAGACTGTCTGAATGTGAATTCTGTTCCAGCTTTGACTAGCTGTGCAAACAAGTTACTTCGCTTCTCTATGCGTCTCCTTCCCCAACGGTAAAATGGAGCCGCTAGCAGACTACGCCCGTTGTAAGAATTATAGTAATATACGGTATATAATATGGCGGGGCGAGGGTGAGCGTTTACAAGTGGCAGGCATATAGATGGTCAGGATTATAGGAGTTGTGGCTTTTTGTTTTCTTCTAGAGGGACCTATAAACTTTCCCCCCGAAGTGCCATTTGTAGCGTGGTCACCTCTGCTTGGGACACTGGTCACAGGGAGTCTTGGTGGGATAGAGGTTTGGAAGCGCCACTAGCTGGCTTGTCTGTGGAAAAGCACCAGATCTGTTTTAAAAATCAATACATCAAAGAGCCTCAGAAATTAAATCCAACAAGTCACAATCTGCTAAAGTTCAGGCAAAGTGTTGTGTGAAGGAATGCATCCTTGATCATTATATCAGACTCTTACACCTTTGCCTGGCTGCCCTTTCTACCCTGTGTGGTTTAGCCTTTCCTCCAAGATCAGTTCACTTCCCTCCTCTGAACTCCAGATAACTGTATGAATATCTGATTCTTACCAAATGCTATTTGTTTGGTTATTTATCTGGGTGTGTACACACGTATCTATGTATGTAGGTGTTTATGTGTATTTCTTCTCTCCAATTACCTTATAAACGTTCCTTGAAGGCAGAGACTGTTTTAATACCCTCTTTAGTATTACTGTACTCAAAACAGTGCCTTGTAAGCATTCAACTGATGATCTCTAGAGACTCAAGAAAATGTAGGTTGGTTGTAAATTGTTTTTACATTAACATACTTTCTAACTAAATAATAGTACCCATTTAATCTCTGCAACAAGTAGAATCAACTCAGCATTTACTAAAACAAAAACAACAAAAACCAAATTCCCTTGCCACACTCCATTGACCTCCCCATTGCTGTCCCTCACAGACATAAAACAAACTCTAACAACAATCATGATTCATGATCAACAAGATTGTGTATTACATCTAAAAACAGAATTATGTTCAAGTGTTCATCAGCATACAAAATCAATTCTATTCGGGTCACCTCTTCTTTATGCTTACTGTGTGCCAAACAATTCACTTAGTAACACAGGAATTAATTTTCCCCCATAACTATAGTAAAGCACTGAAGGTACTGAGGAATAATGACAGATCCCGCATAGTAAAGGCCACTCACCCATGTCCTCTATCATTGTCTCATTCTATTAATTTCTAAGCAAGCCTCTTGCTTTCTAGCTCCAAATTAGATTGCTTCTGGCTTGGTGGAGTCTATTATTGTGGCCTGGGTTATGTCACACATCTACAACTCTATTTATAGAGTTGAGGGGGGGAGAAAAGCTGAAACATGTTTTACACACTACTAATAAATCTTGTTAAAGTGGACAGACAAATCACTATGTCTCCAAGTCTCTCCCCCACCTCATCTCCCCTCCCCTCCCCACCAAATGCCACTTGGAGCTGGCTCATTAGTCCAAAGCAAACCATTTGCCATAACAGCTTGTACATCTCCATGAGAAAGTGTTCCCAGCAAGTTTAAATATTAAAATTAATGTATTCAAATGGTTCCACCAGCAAAATGGTCACAAATAGGAAAAAAAGGTTATGCTTTCCAAAGTATCCATTACCCATTAATAAATAATGCTGTTCATTCACATGCCAATTAAAACAAACTCGGGCTGTCAAGTGAAATTAGAAGCAAGGAGCTCAATGCTGTAATTGTGGGGTTTTTTGTTTGTTTGTTTTTTTCAGGGAAACTCCCAATGTCGTCAGATTAAGTGTAACTAGTTGGGTTGCCCCTCTTCTCTTCTTTACTCAACAGCCAAATTTTCTCCTCTCCCATCAAGTCCTGGCTTTCCTTTCCCCCTTTGATTCTTTGTTTTGGTTGCAGGTATTCCGGAGGCAGTTGAAGGTAATCACCCACCGCTCATTGCTCCCTTCTGTTGCCAGCAGGATCTCACTTCCCCCTACTGTTTTGATTTTTCTTTCTCTACTTTTTAAAGCAGGTGCTGGTGCTTCTTCCTCCGCTGATGCTACTTTGTTATCTCCTTTCCAGTATTAGTTCAGCCCTAGGTAATTCTTCTGCTTCCACCCCCTCACTGAAGCCTCTGTTTCGGTTTCCCAGAAAAGCTGTTAATCCACACTCAGAAAGTGGTGGCACTAAAGATGGAGTGGATCTGCTGCCTGGAGAATCTGGAGAGTAAGATAAAGTTGCTAACATGAAAAAAAGTCTTGACTGAATATATCGTAGTTGGGTAGCTTATGCTTCAGAGCATTTCCTGGGCAGATCCGAGAAGGGTCCCTCAGATCACACAGTCTGACCCCTTGCCCTTGGGCAGAACAGCTCCCACCAGCACCCCCACTAAAGTCTGAGTAGCAGTCTACAATACCTCATCCAGCAGTGAACATTCTACTGCAGCCAGGCAAAGTAAGGAGCATCAGTTGCAAGTTTTGCTATAGAGAAAAGCAACAAAATGATGCCTTGCAGCTTTTATGGCCAAACAAACACAAATGATGTAATTGGGAAAAGCTGTCTCCAAATAGGAGGGAAAAAAATAAAGGGCAATCCTTTGAGTTGGGGTGATGACCACCATTCGAGGGTTTGGGATCAAAGCTCCAGCCAGACATCAAAGCCCATTTGAGTCTAATGCCAAAAGAGCCACAGTGAATTAAAATTCATATATAAACTAATTATAGCTTGACCCCACAATCAGACTTCAGTGAGCACATAGGGGAAAGAAAGCAGACATTGAAACAAAAGATCAAGAAAAAGAAAAGTTGGTAGCAAAACTGGGCAACATCATGGCCCTGACCACTTTAAAAATCTTTTGAGGGCAGAGGGGAATAAGGGAATGGTGGTGGAAACAGCAAGCTTTTGACAATGCTGGTCTTGTTTGCAAGACTATGAAACAGCTCTTTCCACCCTCATTGACTTGTGCACAACCACACACTTTCTCATTCCTGGAAGAAAAGGTTATCTGTTAACTGTTTTAGCATTGTTATAAAGGTTTCCAGTCACCAGGTTTCTGTTGAAGAAGCCCTAGATGATTCCATGAAGTTTGGGGGTGAGTTCTTCAGGAAGCTCAGCTTCCTTATACAGCGCGCCCTGAGTTCCAAACACTCACGCTGGGAGTGATTTGCATTCCCCTGGCCTTCATCACTGATGTCTCCACCAACCGCAGACTTCAGTCGCCTAGCTCTGCCATTTACAGATGGAAGGTGCCTCATAGCAGGTGTCCAAATACCCTAGAACATGCTCTGGTACTAATCCCACAAAACTACTTCATTCCCGAAGCGGGGGAAATCAGAGGGGTAGACGAACCATGAGAGACGATGGACTCTGAAAAACAAACTGAGGGTTCTAGAGGGGAGGGGGGTGGGAGGATGGGTTAGCCTGGTGATGGGTATTGAGGAGGGCACATTCTGCATGGAGCACTGGGTGTTATGCACAAACAATGAATCATGGAACACTTCATCTAAAACTAATGATGTGGGCACCTGGGTGGCTCAGTCGTTAAGCGTCTGCCTTCAGCTCAGGTCATGATCCCAGGGTCCTGGGATCGAGTCCCACATCGGGCTCCCTGCTCGGCGGGAAGCCTGCTTCTCCCTCTCCCACTCCCCCTGCTTGTGTTCCTGCTCTCGCTCTCTGTCAAATAAATAAAATCTTTAAAAAAAAATAAAAAAAAAAATAAAACTAATGATGTAATGTATGGGGATTAACATAAGAATAAAAAAAAAGAAAAAAAAATACTACTTCATTCCCGGGCAAAACTGAAAACTGTTTCAGAGACAAGTGGTCACTTTAAACAATTGTATTTGGTAGATTTTGCCTTTACTCTGCTTTGTTGGGACTGGTCCCTAAATATTTGAAATTCTCCATCTCATGAACTAGCAAACTATTACAAATCTAATTTGATAATCCACAGAACATACTCAATCATGTTTATTTGTAGATAAGCATTAGTGATTTCTTAAAATAATAATCTAATTATAACCTGAGTCTCTTGCATGAGAGAAGAAAACTTTAAAGCAGGCATTCCCATAAGATAAAAACAAATATGTACCATCATCATTGCTTTGCACCTCTTTAAGTGACCATTCATTTATTCAACAGATAGGTATTGCCTTTCCAATACATGACAGGTACTGGGGAATACAGTGATGAACAAATCAGACTCAATCCCTACCTTTATGAAGCTTATGATCTAGGAGGGAAACTGGCACTAATTAAATAATTACATACATATATCTATGATATTTATATTCAAATATATATACATATTTCCATATATTGTTCTAAAATATAGAATATATGGAAAATATGTTTCCATATATATTTCTAAATATACAGATATTTCCAAATTTATAAATAATTCCAAATTGTGAAACAACTATCACAATTTGCAAAATGATATTTTCAAAGCAGACATATGCTATGATTATATCTAAAAAGTCATACTCGAGTCACAAAAAAATTATGACATTTATAAAAAATGATTTTTACTTTTTATTATCTTTTTAAAAAAATATTTACTCCCCTAAAAGCTACATTAAAAATGTCTAGGGAGGGGCGCCTGGGTGGCTCAGTTGGTTGGGCGACTGCCTTCGGCTCAGGTCATGATCCTGGAGTCCTGGGATCGAGTCCCGCATCGGGCTCCCTGCTTGGCAGGGAGCCTGCTTCTCCCTCTGACCCTCCCCCCTCTCGTGTGCTCTCTGTCTCTCTCATTCTCTCTGTCTCAAATAAATCAATAAAATCTTTAAAAAAAAAAAATGTCTAGGGAGATACTTGCTGTATAGCAAAACAGTTCAGTATTTTCATGTAAATATCATTCATTGGAAGGTAGTAGCTAGTATATATAATTAAATTTCAAGATCATGAATTATTTTACAAATCTATTTCTCTTTTCCTCAGAACAAAGAAAGGAGAAAGAGAAAATCACTCCAATCCATGGTACTATGAACAATTTCCAGGATGGTTTCCTGATCATTTCTACACCAGCAAAGAGATGACCGAGGTGATGTTCTGCAGTAGAGCTCTAGATCACTAACATGAAAGCAGAGGCTTTGGCTTTGGGACCGAGACAGTTGGGTCCAGTTCCTCCATTTCCTTTGCTCCATGAACCAAAGAGCCTAGGCAGAAACTGAACCAGAATTCAAAACAAGCTCCCACGCTGAGTTCTGGGCCCGTGTTTCCTTCCAAGACCCACAAAGCCGCTTTAATTAAGATCCCTCAGGGGCCTAGGGATCCCTGTGGAAAAGCCCAGAATGCCATTATCACCCCGAGAGCCGTGAGCGGCTGAAAGCTCTCAATGCTGGCGGAGGCTTAGGCGGCCCCACGGGGAGCCTGGTTCCTCTGATGCCCTTGCACGTTTGCAGCGGCACGTGTGAAGAGTCGCACGTCCACTTCAAACAGAAAGTGGGCTCTGGGTATGTTTGGGCTAAGGGGAAGGCTGGGGGTTGAGAAGAGCCTCAGATTCAAAGAGAAGTCAGCTGGGATGACAGGCAGTGGCCGTATGCGGCTCCAGGCCCCAGAGACTGAAGCGGCTGATAGGAGGGCCAGGGGCTCCATTTCCATCTCTCTCTGCACCTCAGGGGTCTCTCCCTTCAGAGCCAGGGTTCTTTGAAGTCAGGGAGGATGGTTTTGACAACAGATGGGACAATTCACTTCTGTTCAGTTTGGTTCAAGCAGACTGAATTCAGAGGGAGTTTTGCCTAATGACAAAGAAACTGACATTTTGTTACACTCAACTCTCCACCCCCACCCCCCACCCCGGCCTATGGAGGAATTTGGTTGACCCTCTCTTGCCTCTAATAGAAGCTGTTTCCACAGGAGAAAGAATCTGATTCTAACGCAGCACTTACTGATGTGGTGAGAGTGTTTACAGCTGGGGTCAGGCCAGTGTGGATTTGAACTCCAGCCACACCATGCTCTGCTCCTGGGTAGTGTTCGCCATATGCTGGTATTGTGGACTTTGACCTCTCTCAGCCTTGTTTTTCTCATCTGTAAAATGGGGCTTATACTTAACCTTAGAGGTTGTAAAATGTCTAGAAAGAAATGTTGGTTACCCCAAATGTCACACATGCATGAGCACACCCACACACCCACACAGCATGGGCGTTGAAAGACGTCCCGATCAGATACAAATTATCATTAACTATTGCTTTGACAGTTTCCATATAGCATTTTGAAGCTTTTCCTAAAGCATACATGTCCTGTTGCCTTCCCTTTGTTGGGGTTGGAGAGATGTTTTTCATGAACAACTAAATCCATTGTCACATAGATTAAAACTAATGGACCCTTTGGACCATTATACATAGAAAACACCGAAGCCAAGAATGTGACTTCAAAAATCAGAAGTACATTCTTGGCTTAATTAGTGTTGCCTCTCTTGTTCAATTAGATTTTAAACTCCTCAAGGGCAGGGCCTAATCCTACTTCATCTCTAACTCCCTCAGAACAAAGCTGGATATAAAGCAGATACTCACCAAATGCTTGTTTAATTCAATTTCCTTTCAAGGTAGATTGAGATGGAATCCCCTGTCTACGACACACCGAAAGGACCGACTTCGGAAAATTCCATAAATAGATACTCAGAAACAAACCCAAATTGGGTGCTTTTCCTGTCTGTTCCACTTTCAGAAGCGTCTTTTGTAAGTTTGTGCCTTTTAGGGGAAAAAAAATGAGGAAACAGGAAAAAGTGAAACAGTTCCATTTCTGAAAAGATAAGAATAAAGTCTGATAAAGACAAAAGGCATTTGAGGTCAATAGAGTTAAAACAAACTCAGACTGCCCAGTCTGTTTGAAGTTGACAAGAAACAGAGAATGACCCATCGGTCCATTCTGGAGCACAAAGCAGCTTAATCAGCATTTCATCAATGAGGAGGCACTGGGTAGCCTAGCCGGGCCAATTGGCAGTGTGTGAAGAGCTGGGTGCTTTTATCTGGAGGGCACTCACTTCTACCTGAGCACACCTCTGTGTTGGCGGGTGCATGTGAGGATGAGGAATGGAAGGGGTTATCACTACTTTGGGATTCATACTTTCTCATTGCTTCCAGTAATGGAATTCCTATGAAGATTCTTGGAAAAATGGTTTCGTTTTGTTTTGTCATTTATTCAAATTTACTCCTTTGGGATCATGCGGAGCACCTCACAGAGTCCTAAGCACCAACTAGGAGTTTAATAAATAAACGTTGCTGAATTAAATAGGCGCAAGAGGAAAAAATCACTAACAAAATATTAAACACATGCCATGTCCACAGAGATGCTTTGGTGAGGGCCTTTGTGAGAGTGGTTTCTTTCCAAAGATGGGTGCGTGTGAGCCCACTTCTCTGAGCACAGAAAGATTTACATCAAACACTGTCAACCTGGAACTAATATAACACTGCATGTTAACTAGAATTAAAAACTTAAAAAAAAAAAGCCAACAACAACAAACTTCAAACCGCAAGACCTTCTGTTCTACTGAACACGTACCTGACAGACCCAAATATACTCTGACTCACACTGGGCTCTTCCCAAGATTTTTCCAGGGAGCCGGGATCTTACCTTGCCAAGTGCTGGTTGCTGTAGCTGCAGCTGCCTGAGTCAGCACAAAGGGAGGGAAACCTGGTTCTGCTGCACAACGGGTGTCCCTTTATGCATCACGCCTATGCATCGCGCCTATGCATCACGCTGCACCGTGCACCTGGGGGGATCCACGGGCTTAAAAAAAAAAAAAAGAAAAAAAAAGCCCAGACTTTACAGGCACACCTTTTCCTTTCCCTTTTAGCTCATTTACACATCATAGAATTAAGTTTCTCCATTTTCAATAGAGCTGAGCCCGTTTTCGAACTATAACACATACCTCTCTTGTTATCTGCACCAGTGTGTCTTCTGACCTTGTCCAAGTCATGTTATCCCACCCTCTTCCCTTCTTCCTTTTTAAATATCTCCCCTCCTCTGAGAATCCTAAAGCAGCAGCTTGGCAATGGAAGGCAGTGGAAACTAAAGTGGATCTTCGGCAGACCGGATCCTGTTGAAGAAACACAGAAAACCGAGATCATATGCCCCAAGTGCAGACTTTGATCATTAATAACTCAAGAGGGGAAGAATGCAGATACATATAGTCTACATTCCCTATGCATCACTAGGTAATTGCTCGAATCCTTGGTCTTTACAAAAAAATATGTGTCATCCCCCCAAATTTGTCTTCCAAGAAAGAATAAAATTAGCTTTTTACCTTTCCTCCATGTTACCACAAAAGAACAAAAACCCCAAGCTAGGTGATTATGTTTCAGTCCTCTGTGTACCCCTTCTACCCATGTGTTCTGCCTGGGAGCCTATCAGAAGAATGTGAATAATGAGACTACCTTTCCTATTGACCTAGGTGTTTATAAACAAAGCTTTTCCTTCTAGGAAAGGCAACGACATTTAAACTGCTGAAAATTATCAGCTTCAACTTATCTGAATTTCATTGCCGTGCTACTCCTTCAGGAAATGGGAACCACGAGAGTTTCCCTTTTTTTTTTTCCAAATTGCCTCCAGATGTGACATACAGAAGAATCTTTATTAAAATATCACACAGGAGCTGATGCCTTATAATTTCTTCTTCTGTCATCTGGGTCAGAATATGAATAACAAACCACTGGTCATAGAAAAAAGCTCTAGGTGTTGTCTGGGATCAGCTTTAAAATGGCAACAGCCCTCACCCTGTGCCACAACCTCCAGCCACCCTACCCTGCCTCACCTGTCCTTTTTCCATAGCGTTTAACACCTTATTACACTATGCAATTTACTTATTTATTATGTTCATTGTTTCTTGCCTGTCTCTCTTGCTAGAATGCATGCCCCACAAAAGCAGGGATCTTTGTTTTGTTGACTGATATACCCCAAGGACCTAAAACTGTATACCTGGTGCCCTGTGCTTGCTCAAATAAATATTGTTGAGTGAATGAATGAATGAGTTTGTCATCCCTTTATTATATCAAAATCTCTAGTCCTGACCCCCAAATTAACACTAATGCCACATGTCCTATTCCATATAAACCACTAAGTTGTCACAAGGATTATCCCAATCCTATTTCCAGATGCACTTCACTTTCTCTCATCCCCCTTACCCTGCCTCTCTTCCCAGAGTATCAATTTTGGTCAACAACAACATAATCTACTAGTCCTAAAACTAAAATTCTCGTTCTATTTACTCTTCCTTCTCCTTCATCCCTCAGATTACAAATTTATCAAATTCCTGTAAATTCTTCCTTTCAAATATCTCTCCAGTTTGTCCCTTCCTCTCTATTCTCATTGCCCTGGTCTACACAATTATCACCTCAAATAGACTCCTAATTGGCCTCCTAGCCTCTAGTCTCTCCCCCCTACAGGTTCGTTTGCATATCATAAGCATCGTTTTGATCATGTCAATCCTCTTCCTAAATCGGCTGTGATCTGGCCCACCCAGCAAACCTGACCTCCCTGAGTGGTCAAATGGTCTGGAGTTAAATCTTGAAAAAACAGAAAGTGTTGTGTGGCAAAAAAGTTATGGTAAGTAGGGGTGGAGGAAAGGAGTGGGGAGGGGGCGGGGGGGGGCAGATCATAACTGCCAGGCTAACGAATTTGAACTCCATCCTGGAAGCCAAGAAGGGCAAGCTGTTAGAAGACACGTCCATCAGGAAAATGACAAGATGAAAATGGTGTTTTAGCAAATGCAATCCGGCGAGTTGTTGGAGGTGCCATTGGAGGGGAGACTGGCTGGAGACAGAATTCATGGACCAATTGCAAGATATTTCTATTAATTCAAAAAGATAGCTCTAACTATTAATCCAGCAATAATCTGCCGTGTGCCCACTCTATGTCTGGGGATACAGTGGGAAGTAGTTATTTCTTGGGGTTCTGGGAACAATTAAGGAGAAAGCACCGAAGACCAGTAATGATAATCAATAACGAGCCACCCACAGCCTCTGTCCTCAAGCCCACCTGGTCTCTTCTAGCCCCGGACAACCTCTCAGATTTAAAATAAGCAGTTAGAGGCGCCTGGGTGGCTCAGTCGGTTAAGCGGTTGCCTTTGGCTCAGGCCATGATCCCAGGGTCCTGGCATGGAGCCCCAAATCCAGCCCCGCATCCAGCCCTGCATTGGGCTTCCTGCTCCTCGGCGAGCCTGCTTCTCCCTCTCCCTCTGCCTGCCGCTTCCCCTGCTTGTGCTCTCTCTCGGCCAAATAGATAAATAAAACCTTTTAAAAAATCATAATAAATAAAATAAAATAAGCACAGTTAGCCGGGCTAGGCATCACTACACCAACTCTCATGCTCAAAGCTGCTGCTCCTGAAAATCTGGTCACATGTTAATTAGGAAAAAGAAAGGAAATGTTTTCCATAAGTCAGGAGTCAACAAGCTTTTTCTGTAAATGTCCAAATAGTAAATGTTTTGGGCTTGTAGACCTTACAGTATCTGTCACAAGTACTCAGCTTTGTAGTTGCAACACAAAAGCAGACACAAATAACACTTAAACAAGTGAGCATGCCTGTGTTCCAATAAAACTTTATTTATAAAAAGAGGGAGCGGGCAAATTTGGCCCATAGGCCAGAGTTCACTGACCTCTGCTCTAAGGTATTAGGATATTGTAAATCCCAACACTCAGTTTTAAATAGGGGAGTAGCATAGAAGAATATAAAGACAATGAGTTTAAGGAGCTCAGAAAACTGGGCTAGAATTCTAATTTTACAATAAATCTTGGGGCATTAGGAAAATAAACTCCATTTCCAAATGCATAAAATGAGAAGCAGCATGGCATGGTGGCCCATAACCTCAGACTGCCTGGGTTCAAATTCCAGCCTTGCGACATACTACTTTTGTGATTTGGGCAAATTCCCTAATCTGTCTGAGCTTCAGTCTCAGCTGTTTTCATGGGGATAAAAAATATACCCTTCTTCACTGAAAGGATTAAATAAGATCATGCATATTAAGTACCTGGGACAAAGCAAGCACTTGATAATGGTTAGCTATTATTATTATTGTTATTATTATTATATTACTGTGAAATTTCCCAAGGAGTGGCTATTTATACAATACGTGAAAGTATTCATTTTCTTATTTCTAGAGATTAAAAACAGAGAGGGGTCATTCTGTTTTAACACTCTTGTACTTCCGAAACATTTTTCACACAACTGCAGGAAGCTGAAGTCACCTTGTAAACCAGTCACTGCTTTTTCAGATGATTGCCTTTAAGTGGCTTTCAAATTCTGAAGATTATCATGCATAATGTATTATGCTTATGTCAAGATTAAATTTTTTCCATTGATTTTTCTCCTGCCTCCATCAAAGGTTTTGTCAGACAGGACTTCGTCTCAAGAGGAGGCTGTTCTTGCTTTCTCTAAATTGCAAGCACAAAGAGTTTCTTTCAGACATAGTGTCTTTAAACCAACTAATGTGATTTTTGTCTCCAATTACAACCAAGTTAAAATTCTCCAATATACACTAGACTTCCCTCCCCAAGCTAGACACAGGAATGTCCCCATCTATCCAACACCTTCAGGAGAAAACAGGACTGGGTTATGGGCGGCTCCTCCCAGAGCACCCCGTCCTCTTGGCAGCTGGTGTCAGCACTGAGGAAATAAAGTAAATTCCTGAGCTTTAGGAAATTTCCATTCCAGGGCACTGTGACCACAGTTTAGTTCTAATGTGCAAGTA